GTGCCGCCCATGTTCGTGTGCCGCCCATGTTCGTGTGCCGCTCATGTTCGTATGCCGCCCATGTTCGTGTGCCGCCCACCCCAACCACTTTACGCAGTGTAGACAGATAGAGCTGTGGAGCCACGCACAATAGCTATTATCGCAAGAAAACTTGGAGCAGTTCTCTATTAAATATTCTAATCAATTCCCTAGCTCAAGCTTTTTGCGTGGGGCGATTTTGCGACCACGGCTGTTGTATGTAGGTGGAGGGGTTGGGGAACGCGCCGTAGCAACACAACAACTACGGGCAGTTGCAGCACCACGACTCTGCTTCTTTCTAGGTGCTGTAGACTGTGAAGCTTTCCGCTTGCCTCTTTGGGTCAGTTGTATAGCTTCTACAGCATCGCGCTCTTGCTTTTGATGCTCTCGTTCAGCTTTGCGTGCAGCTGCTTCCTCACGCTTCAGCTGTGCTCGCTCAGCAGCCTCCTTTCTCCTTGTTGCAGCAGCAGCTTTCTTCTCAGCGTCAAGCTTTTGCTTCAGCTTCCTGTTAGACTTATGGAGCTCTCGCTCAGTGTGTTTGCGGAGCTCGTTGTCCCTCTCCTCCTGCTCAAATACATCCTGAAGGTGTTGAGCCTCATTCACTCCCCGGAGAGAGTACCATTGTGTCTTTGAGCGAGTCTCTTTGCGCTGAATAAGCGGCAGAGGCCTGCTCTTTATAGACTTGCTCTTTGTAGACTTGCTCTTTGCGTAACTTAGAGTATCTTGTAAGTTGTCCCTCTCTATCTTCAGCAGCTCATTCTGGGTTGTAAGCTGGTGGAGTGTTTGCCGCAGCTCCTTTGCCTCGTCCGTAGTCGGGTCCTGCACAGATTGCCGCCAAATCCTGTTATTGTGTCGCCAGTCGTTAGCTTCATTAAAGGCCTGTGCTGCAGCTGCCTCCGCTTGGCTGGGGGTGAAGCGGTCGAGTATCGCGTTGGGGTTAAGCGGAGCGATCCCTAGTATATAATGCTACGTGGATTGGACCCCTAATCCATCCTAATCAAGTAATCACGCACCCTGATCCAAAAACGCGCGTATATAACGCGGACCAGACCCTAATTCTCGCATATTATAGTCTAGTGCGAATTAGCCTCTTAATTAGTTCTAGCGTAAGCCTCTTAAACTATTCTACACTAACATTATTATACGAACAAAGGGAGTCCCTTTATTTATTTTCTCTAACAAATTCAATCTACGCGTACGGACAGGAGAGTCCCTTTCTTTAAAACTTTAGAGTCTCTTTCTTTACCTATAATAATGTTAAAAAGTCGTATAATTTCTATGCGACATATAGTACGTGCGTAGCTACTCTATATCTAAATTTTGTAATAATTATAATAGTGCATCGCGTTATACTTGTAACGGCGCAGGCAAGACTACTCGGATCAGTATCGGCGG